ATGCCAATACTTTGGCCAACAAAACCTATCTAATGGAGGCAAGCCGCCATGCGCATCCTTAAAGTATTTTCATTATTTGTCTGTACTCAGTTACTAATGACTGTAAACATAACGAAAGCCCAGGAAGCTGCGCGCCCAATGGGGGGCTGGCGGTATTTAGACAGCCAAACAGCAAGCTTTAAGCAAAATGTGCGCTATCCTGCCTCGAGCACCAATAGTGGCGACAAAAGTGATCAAGCGCTAATATCGGGAAAAATTACCGCGACCAGCAAAGAGCAAAAACGTCAACGCAAAACCCCTAAACTAGCGGCTGACATTGTTGTTTGTATGTGTTATTGCCTGTATTAGCGCCCCCATCAACAAGTACTGATGTGCTGCCTTGTGGTATTTGCCAACTTGCATCTGGGTAAGCTGCACGCAAAATACTTACATAGTCTTTTCCGCGCAAACCCGCCTCTTGTGCCATACGCCAACTCATAGTGTGGCGCCCTGCACTGTCTCTGTGGTAACGTATGGGGGAACCGCCTAGTGTAAGGCCTTCAGTAAATGCAGCAACTTGCAGCGCTTGTTGACTAGGGCGCTGTAAGGCCACTCGCTGTGAGCCTACATCATCGGCAATGTGCCAGCAACCTGCTTCGAAACGTCCATTTTGGAGTACATAACTACGCGCTGCTACTGCCAAGGCGCGGGCAGCTTGCGTATCCCTTGCATCGGCTTCTCGGTCTAGTACGCGGGCTACATATTCCTCCATATCAAAGCGCCCTACTATGCGCGGTATCGCTGGTGCTTGTTTTCCTTTGGCACCTCGTAATTCCACCCATAACGCACCATTGGTGGTAAAAGGTAGGCTTTTACCGTTAGCCAAGTGTGCCACATAAGCACCTCGCAAGGTGCCAGTGATTGCTTTGTCTGCACCTTGAAGTGTGACCTTGCGCAAGGGGTAGCGATGTAAAAAATCTACCTGCACACAAGACTGTCCCGCCGCCGTATTGCTTGGTGCCAACGCGGCGGGTAGCATAGGGCTGATACGTTGGATGACGTCTTTGCTGCGGCCCCTGCCTCCTATCCAAAATACCCGGCCATCAGCCAGCCAGCCAGCCGCACCACCCACATAAGCGCCAGGGCGCTTTGGATCGTCCCACGTATAGGTTTTAAATCGGTAGGCGCTTCCCATTTGTGTCAAGGCAGATTGCCACTCTGGTTGTAGCAAGCGCCCCAAGAGAGCAGTACGCGCTGACTTTACTGTCGGTTGCGGCATCTGCTGTAAGACCTGCAAAATATCTTCTACCATCACGCTGGTTGCAGGCTGCATATTAGATAAACTATGCATCCACTTTGCCTGTGGTGCGCTGCGCTGCCAATAGCGGCTCCAGTCTTGCTCTGTTATGCCCAGCCGTTTGGGAGCAAAATAATTGCCACAAGATCGCACCAATGCAGTATCTCTGTCCAGACTCTCTTCTTGGTTGCAGCAAAACTCATCGCCCTTGATTTTGTCTGTGCGCCTGCATTGGTAGATTGGCTCTTGTATTTGTGTATCTTGCAAGTAAGCATAGACAAACAGTTTCCACAAGCTTCCTAGAGGGGTAGTTTGCTTGGTGTAATCAGTTGATGGTTGCTGCTTAGTGCTTTCTATGTACCGCTGCTCTAGCGTGATCCATTGCATTTGGCCCTGCGTATTGCGCGTAGCTAGCAGTGTTTGCGTCCAACCTAAAGTAGGTATGGTTATTGCCAAAAATATATAGCACTGCGTAGACAATGCCAGCAAGATGGCAAGTTTGCGCAGCCCATACCAAGTACGAAAGAATAAATTTGGCCTATGCATAAATATTTTTCATGTAGCGGTATTAACGAATAGGTTGTGCCTGCTACTGAACCGTCAAGGTCTGCGCTGCATCGTAGGCCACGCGACTGGGAGCATACATATTGTATAGTCGTGCTGGTGGAAGCTTATAAACGCCCTTTTGACTAAAACGTAGCAAGCGATAAAACCTCAAGGATTCATTCAATCCATTAGTATTGCCAATAGGAAGTGCATAGCGATCGCGAAATTCCTGGAAATTGGCACGTTCCAGCGGGCCCACGCCTTTCAGAGTGATACCCCAAGTGCTAGGGTCTACGCTGGCGCCGGGCGGCAGGGGTATCTCGGCAACCAGGTAGCGCAGCGCTTTGCTTGAAGTAATTTCTATTTCTTCAACATACAAATCACCTGTTCGCACAGTGTTTCCTGTCTCTATCATGGAGTAATCTGTACTCCTATTGGCCTCATTCTCACCCTCATTGTCGCGTTTTAATAAATAAAGTGTCCGCTTTAGGCTTGCATTCAGTGCTTGAACATCTTTGTTAGAGACAGCGCTCTCATATCGCAACTCCACCACAGTATTTGCTTGCTTTGCTGTAGGCAAGTTAAGCTGTAGCGTCTGTGGCAAAGTTTTCGTATCAGCCCATCGGTACCAAGCCCCCCCAACATTGCTTCCCTCCTGCTGCCAGGGCTTGGACAAAGCTA